AGCAATTCATTTGAGTTAGTGGGATACTCAGATTCTGACTTTGCCGGATGCAAAGTTGACCGGAAAAGTACATCTGGTACTTGTCAATTCATTGGTGGAAATCTTGTTTCTTGGTTCAGTAAGAAACAAAACTCCATTTCTACATCAACAGCAGAAGCAGAGTACATTGCAGCTGGTAGTTGTTGTGCTCAAATTTTGTGGCTAAAGCAACAACTACTGGACTATGGAGTCAAGACAAAGGAAGTGACAATCTTTTGTGACAATCAAAGTTCCATAGCCATCTCTCAAAACCCAGTGCATCATTCTCGCACTAAGCACATTGATGTCAAGCATCACTTCATCAGAGATCATGTGGAAAAGAAAGATATCAAAATTGAGTATATCTCAACTGAAGAACAACTGGCGGATATCTTCACCAAACCACTAAGTGAAGCCAAGTTTTCCAATTTGCTTCACAAAATTGGTCTAATTTAATTAGACTGAGTGTGGTGCACGTGGCAGTTCATTTTCCACGTCTGTCAAAATGATGGGTGGGGACGTGGCCTTGGGAACAGTTAAAAACCCAATCGCCACTAGCCGCATAAATCGCCCACATTAAACCCAATCATCACTATAATCAGACCTCAACTGCCCACTCAGCACACTCAAATCTTTCTTCGCCTTCTTCACGAGAATCTTCTGATAAAATTCTCAAGAACCCTAATTTCTTCAAATCCTCTCAAATTTCTGAGAAAATGAATGTTGTCGGTGCAAATGTCCACTTCTAGAAGTTAGAAGCCAAGTGCTCATCACCGACATTCTTTCAAAGCTATCTGAAAATGATAGCCGCTCAAGAACTCTCCGAATTTCTTCAAATGGAGATTCGCCTCAAATTCGAGGAAGAAGTTCTTGAATTCTACAGAAATGGAGAGGTCAAAACTGCTCATTCAAAGAAGAACCCACAGATGACGTTTCCAGTCATCAAGTCCACTGTTGGAGGTACAAAAGTGAAGCTTTCGCAAAAGAAATTGGGAGAAAAGCTTCGCCTTCCCAATTCTGGAGTTGAAGTTGGGAAATTTCCAGTCAAAAATCTGGACTGGAACATCATTGGAATCTCTGGGCAAGTTCCTTCTGGCCCAGCGAAGAAAGCAGATCTAAACAACAATTACAAGTTGGTTTTGGAACTGGTCATCGCTTGCCTCGAGTGTGGAAGTGGAGGTCATGCCGATGACATCACCCAGGAGAGAGCCTTCATCATCAACTCTCTCATTACCAAAACTAAGGTAAACTGGGCTGCACACTTTTTCAAATCCATTTCAAAACATCTAGGAAAGCACAATCAGAAGTATCTCTGTCAAGGTTTGTATATTGGACATATTTTGGAATCTATGGGCGCTGCAGTTAAAGGGAAAAAGTATGAAGCCAGATACTGGCTATACTACTTATCCTTCAAAGGAGAAAACAGAGCTATTGCTAGTGCCACTGCAGAAGAAAGCTCATCAGACAATGTTCCACTCATCAATTTCCCAAAGACTGCCAAGAGAAAGCATGTGGTGTCTCCCACTCCCAGTGCTGAAGCACCACAAAATCTCGCTCCAATAAATCTTGAAGAAGAAGAAGAATCCTCTGACCAAGTCAGTCTTCTCAAAAGACACAGAAGATCAAGTGGTTTTCACTTCTGAAGCACAAGGTGTTTTGGAAGCAGCAGCTGAAGATTTCCAAACACTTCCGGAAACCTCACATGTTTCTGAAATGGTTCTAACTGAAGTTGTAGAAGAGAAGGCAACCTCACCCCCACAAGAACAGAACCAGGAAACAGCAGAAGAAGAAGAATTTCAGCCACTAATCCAATCTCACGTTTTGGAGATTCTCACCACTCCTTGTGAGATCTCCAATCCTACTGAAATTGAGATCCCGGAAAAGTCAGCAGAAATTCCGGAACAGTCAGCTCTTCCAGAAACAATGGAGCAAGCTGTTGAAGCACAAAGGAATTCTGGAGAAGCTGAAAAGGAAACTCAAATGGCAGAACTAGAGGTCTCTCAAACTCCAGTAGCCATTTTTGAAGAACAGAAT